GGGTGGGGGTGGGGGGCACTGATTGGTGGGCCTGATGGATAGAGCTTCATCAGAGCTAAACAACAAAAGAAATCTGAAGTTTGACAGTTCCTGAGTTAAAAGCATTTTTGCATGTTCATACACCCCCTCTTTGAAAGGAGCCCCCTCCTCAAATATGGGGTCTATCGTAAAACCGTTGGCTGGTGCAGTGTAGGTCAGACTCATCTACAGCCCTGCCAAATTTCATGTTGATCGGTGCAACTGTTTTTGTTCTACGGTTGACCAAAAACCTCCGGAGGAAAAAAAAAAAACAGTACGAAAACAACGACTCCCGCTAATGCTTCGCATGCGGGGATCATAAAAACTGTTCACAACTTCTACAGAATGGACAATTAAAAAGCACTGACAAATAAAAACTAAAATCTTTTTTTATGTTTTATTACGTTTACATTTTAGTACATAGTTAATCATATTAAAGGCAGAAGTATTGTTTGTGTTCAGACAAGTTTAAAATTAGAGAATTCGGTATTAAAGCCTCTGGTAAGGTATGAGTTTTTTTTATTTTTATTTTATCTTTGTTGGGACTGTTGATAATTATAAAGCACAACAACTACATTATAAATACGTTACAATAAAACTATCTTAAACATAACCTTGGATCTCATGAGACCTACCCTGTCATGTGTAGTCAGGCATGGCAGGTGGGGCATAATTTCTCCCACTTTCACTTTGCTGACAATGGTTGACATGTTCCGCCGCAAATATCCATCCCAAAGCTTGTCACTGGCGAACGACATCTGGAATATCAGAAAACAGACAGAAATGGTAAAAGTTCTGCTAACTTGTGCTCGCATTCAAAATCAGAAAACCCACATCATCTGCCATCTTTCTGCCTCTTACGTAACACGACAGCTGTGGCAGTACGCAGTGAGAACCAGGATGTGAACTTTTCTGTCTCTAACAACCACAGAGACGAACAGCGAGGAGCGTTTTTTACACAACGACATGAAAGTGGAAATAAAGGAAACTGGCACGATTTCAGCTGAGCAGGGAAACACATATTTTTTTCTTTTTCTTTCAGTGAAAAGTATAATGAAACAACAAAAAAATAAAGAAAAAAGAAAAAAACTTTTTTGGCACGACAACAAAGGTTTTTTATAGTTCTGTTTTTTGAGCAAGAATGGACACGCCCACTTTTTCAAGTCTGCAGCTGTCTGGGGTAAAACCAGTGAGATCAGTCACTTATTAACAGTCTTCAGAATGCAGTTTAGTATCTGACTCAAATGTGCTGCAGTAAAGTTTTGACCCCC